AGATAAAATTTTCAGGCAAGCTTTATGAAAATGTGATTCCTTTTAAAATATCCTTATTCCACTGAAAAATTATAGATGAGATATGATGTAGCTATTTGTCTATTGTATGGTTACAGTGACAAATATCACAAAAAAAATAGAATAACACTGCAGCTGTCCAAATTTTGACTATTTTAATTAAATTCATTACCTTATTATGACATTTAAATTATAATAAAATATTACTTTAAATACTTTAATTTTAAAAAGTGTTTTTAGAACAAAGAATAAGCCTTCAAGCATAATTTAAACAAGAAATAATAAATATGTTTAGTAACTTAGACAAACTAGTGTGGTAAGATACAAACTGGGTAACTGCTTGGATTTGATAATCTTTAATGAAATCCCTTAGCCTTTCATAAAAGTAGAAATTAAAGAAATCTAACTTTTATAAATTCAGTGCTTCAGTACTTTTAAGCTAGCAGATCTTTAACATTTTTTATCACTTCCTAACAAATGTTCCTGAAAAGTTTTATTAACATGTATTAAGTGATTATCCAAAAAGAACATAATTTCTTAAAAAGTCTGTAGTGTTTATATATTTTTCCAAAGTAAAAGGAACTTAAATTGCAGATCACATTAAAAGTGGGATTGTTTTTCAATTCATTTAAGTTTAGTCCAATGATTCATGGTTTCCTTAGTCTGTTGCTTGCTGTGCATCAAGTGATGTAACCTGAGGATGCAGCATCTTGGTGCAGCAGCAAGCAGTTGGGAGGCAAAAGCTAGTTGTCTTGACATAGAGGATATTGAATTTTGTTTATGATTTTAAAAAAAGGAATATAAGCCAACTTTTCTTTTCTTACATGTTACTCAGTGTCACTAACCATGAAAAGCAAACGTATGATTGATTGGCAGTGTTGTTACTATTTTGTTTGTCCAAGCCCAGGGATTCTTGAAAAACATGTAACAGACGTGGTACTCTGTTATATCTGGGACTAAAAAAGAGAATGCAATGAGGTGTGTTGATATATATTGGCAAAAACTTCCATAATGTAATTTATCACCAAGAACTCTTGTGGCAGATAAAACATAGGATGTTTTTGTCTCTTTTTCCAGAGTTTTTTGTGGCTGGCCAATGAACATCTTCTGTTAATAAAGGATTTTTCCTAAATGTGGAAACTTGAGGTTTTTTTAATCATGCTGGCAGCTTTCCTGAAATGTTAACATCAAAAAGGAGATCTGTGAAACTTTCTTAGTGATAATTAATATTCACTTTCTCCACTGTTTTGAAATCCCATAATGTCAGCAGAGGTAAGGAAGAAACAACATTTAAAAGACATTACTACCATTACCTGTGATGTCACCTCTTTCCCAGCCTGTTGAAAATGTCAAACCTTCATCAGCTATGCAGAGATTACAAAGGAAGTGTTTGCTTCCCTATAAAATATCAGCCATTTGTTCATTAGCACATTGTGGTGAGTCAAAGGGTGGGTATTCTGGTTTTTGGAAGACCCATAAAGCATGATTTAGAAGTACCACTCAGTACATATGTTTTAGTCTTGCAGTACAGTATTGGACTGTACACCTTGCTTTTTAAATTTCAGCAAAGCAAGTTTGTCGTCTTCTGTATCTGTTCTATTTGGTTAGATACAGATAGATACATTTACCTGTATATGTATTTTTTAAGGAGAAATTTCTGAAGAGTTCATGTTGGGAAAAAAAGCCAACACTTTTTTGAAAATGTTCAATGGTCCAGAAAAAGGAAATTTTTTTAATTGCCGATCTCTCTTCAGAAAAATCACATAAAAACATGAAAATTGTGATGGCTGCATTGATTGTATGTGAAATCTTGTGCAATCTTCAGTTGCATATTTTCAATAAACGTTTAAAAGACAGGTAAATTGTGAAAATTATCCAATATGACTTTAACATTTATTTATAAAATAGCATGGGAAAAATGCATTTTAAAAATATGATGAGATTGTTGTTGATCTTTGCTGTACAGACAATTTTGCTTTACTTTCTATGTATCAGGTTCTTGTAGCTGATTTTAGAAATTTTAGAGTCATTCAAACAGTAGGAAACTGGCTTTTTTCACAAAATAGTGTGGAAGTTGCATTTCTCTGCAAAATAAATTGACAAACATACTTTAAAATTGCATGGCAATATTTGTGTCATGTGCCATTATATTGTACTCTTTGTGTGTGAATGAGAATATGAAGGCTGAAGCTATCTTGCTCAAATAGTCTAGATGTATTTGTGCTTCAAAAAGTTATTATCAAAACTGAGATCCAATCTTCAGAAACTCAAACACCTTTAAGAACTCAATTATTAACTGTATTTAGTTAATTATAATTAACTGTACATAGCTAGCAAGCTTGGAATTGTATGCACAAAAGAAAAATTAAGAATTTTAATAAAATTAGCTCTACAAAAGAATAGAACTACTCATACATGGTTGTCAAAATGTTTTAAAATGATGAATTTAAAAGAAAGAAGCATCAGCAAAATTTGAATTCTTTTTCTCTCTCCTCCTACTCATTTTCATTCTTCTATTATTTCTTTTAGCAGTGTCTTTAGATACAAATGCCTTGACTTTCTGAGGTGTTGAAAGTCCCCAGTTAACTAAAAAGAAGATAAATGGAGAAGACTAAACTCTGCTGTTTCATATTTTAGTGATGATGACAGTGTTTAGCATGGCTTGAAATAACATCTAAAATACAAAACTAAGAGGAGACAATGACCTGAGATAGGCAATCTTTCACAGATAGGGTCACAATTTGTCTTAAAGAATCAGTGACTTATTTATCAGAATGCCCCATATTAGGTAAATACCACTATTTGATTTAAATCATGCATTGTGTAAGAAAACAACCAAAAAACTTTATAACATAGAACTTAAATGGATGGATCTTTAAATTTAACAAAATAGAGAGCTAACTATTTTTTTTAAATTTCTGTATCCTGATGGATTTTACTTCTATAATAAAATAAATTTTGTTTTTTTCCTAAGCGTTCTATTTTCATGCTTCCTGAAGTAAATCTTATGCTTTTCTAGATAGTGCAACTATTAATTAAAATAATAATACTTTCTTTTTCTGTAAGAAATCATTTTTGTTTTTTAGAGACTGGACTACAAGCATAAGATAATAAAATAATAGAAATAATTTTTTTCTTGTTCTTTTACCCTATTCAGATTGCATGAATACACATTCTAGGTGTTTAATTATTTCACTCTTGATAATTCTGAAGCCATATTTTTGCCTGACTAAAACTTTCAATAGCAAACTGAACTGGGTAGGAAAACAGAACAGCTATACTTCATAGAGGAAAACTATACCACTCTGTTTACCTAAATTCTGACTATCCTTTAGGCAGGTTACCTCTTTTACTGTGCTTTATAAAAAGGTGTGTCTTGAATATACTTGTCATCAGGAGGCAAAAAAGGAGGATGCAGAAAATTAGGATTTCCAAGACATTTTCAGACAAATAGTGTGAAATACGATAAAAATGTCAGTTTTTCTCTCAAGTCTCTTTGAAGAGCTTTCCTCGTTTATGACAGCAACAACAGCAGAAACCTATAATGACCTTTGATATTTACAAAGTTAATTGTGTTGTCTGTGAGGAAATTATAACTATGAAACATTTTCTTACCTTCACTTAATTTCTACTGTAGTTGTGCAGTATATGCTGAAGTCTTCTAAGAGAAAAATAAAACAAAAGAATAATTTACCTATTCAGTATGTTAGTGGAATGAAGGGTTTAATCTCTATGGGTTTGTGAAAAACCTTTGCCTCTAAAACTCTACACACTGAAAACTGGCATGAAACCAATATCACAAATACAAGGATCACTGGCAAGCACAACTGAAGGAGTCATGAGAAACATGAGTCTAAGTTTGCATCAAATACTAGTCATGTGTTATCTGCTGCTATGGATTGTTAAATCTCTTGTGAGGTTAAAAGTCTGTCTAATACTTGAAACAAATTGTTAGAAGGTTTATAGTAACAGTGAGCCCCTGTATGGAGAATGATGAGCCTTGACTCCACCACTGCAGAAGGCTGATCAATCTTTTTATTGTTACTACACTATACTATACTACTAGAGAAAAAGCCATCACCCTTGCCAGACAGTCCAATACACATGTGGATCCAGTTGGTCAATGAATCCAAAACACCATCACCAGAGTCCAATTAAGAAACCAGCCTGTGACAAACAATCTCCATAGCACATTCCATATGTGCACAACAACAGGTGCAGAAAGTGGAGATAAGAATTGTTTCTCATTCTTTTCTCTGAGCTTTCTCACAGCTTCCCAGGAAAATCTTGGGAGAGAACTATGTCTTTCTTCATTCAGAGGATATGTGATTACTACAAAGATTTTTGAAAACGTGAATAGTATTTGATCCTACTGAAACCACCAGGTAGTTTCAATACGGAGTAAGATTGCTCTGTAGACAGCGTTTTGGGGGAACATCCTAAGTAGAGTATATTGGAACAATTTCAGAGAAAATATGTTGACATAAGCTTTGTGTTACTTATAAATGCACTGATTTTTCTTTTTAAAATATATTTTGCAATCTATTTTTTTTTCTTGCAATCTACTTCCTCATAAGAGGGGAACCATCCAAGTTCTTATATTTTATTTTAAGGAGGTATTTCCATCTCCTGGACTGATTGCAGCCTAGCTCCTTTTGCATGCATGTTGTTGCATATTTAGTCTTTTATGACAGATGTTATTGTTCAGCATTCCAATCCCAGCTAGAGAAGTAATAGGTTCTCTTTCTCATCTCCATCTCTGTACATGCTTCCCCATTACATACTCTCAAGTAACCAAGGAAGTTGTATTTTGGCACTATGGGAAGAAGATGTGTACTCTATATACCCTGGTTTTTTTCAGCATACTATTCTGTTTTGATTGTGCTCTTCTTCCCATTCCCATAATCCAACTTTGTTATTACTAAGAAAAGAAACTAGTAGCTCAAGCCTCCCTTGAGGCTGAATGCAGGTATAGTTACATGCAGGAACAGATTCAGTGGATAGTGTTGGTCTAAAATTAAAAAAAAAAAAAAAATCCCCCCAATACTGTACGTGTGCACTAGGAAAGAAATCTGCACAGATGACTCCTCCTAAGAGCCGCAAATATTGTAGGGTGAGTAACCATTCTCTCTGCACTGAAAGATCGGTGATTCTCTATCCAGAATGTAATATTTTAGGCTTATTAAAATAAAATAGTTTGCTCTTCTGTTAAGCCAAGTTTTTTATGATTTTGTTATCTGAAATGTTTAGTATATATTGACGAGTTCAGCGCTTGAAATCTTTTTTCTGGTTTTACTCTTTTGCTCTGTAGGGTAGAAAAAATAAGCACTGGAAAGCAGGCATGAAAGAAAGGTCAGTAGTTTTGCATCTGCAGTTCTATATTTGCACAGGTTGCTAGGCAATGTGAGAAAATCATAGTTCTAAACTGCAAGTGTGTTTTCAGACATCAATTATTAAAAAGAAATCAACAACTGTATTTAGTAATATAGTTTAGTACATTTACCTTTTATTAATGTTACTAATCTTTGACAATCATTAGGTGAAATTAATATTACACAGTCTGCATTCACTTCAGAATTGATAGGCCCCTCCCTTGAAGGATCAGCTTATATTTGTCATATGATGAAAACTTCTTTTTTCCTATTTGAGCATAGGAACTTAAAAATTTTTTGTATTTTTGCTTCAAGAGCTATTGACTATCATGATACATGTTATGTGAGACTGTAAGATTGTACCTTTTTCTAGTTTGACAGATACTGTTGAAGCAGAAAGAATGATTTTGGCTGGTACTTGGCAGGTGTAAGCTGTATATTTCTGATCAGGATTGAAGAAGGGCTTTCAAAAGATTTACAGACTGTAATATCAATGGATTAGGCCTGAGCTCTATAAGAAGGGAATATAGAAAGAAAGCAAATGCAAAGAGAGAGAAGAAAAGAAGACTGGAATCAAAGGAGAGGACGCTGCTTGCCCTGGGGCACTGTCTGAGGTTCTGCCTATGTAGATTTGGAAGCACAGTGAGTCAGCAGGGCTCCTGGGGATGTAATCATGGTGGGGCAGAAGGTGAAAGCATTTTTTTTCTGCCTCACAGTGTCACTTCATATTTTACATAGTGGATGAACATGGAGAGAAGCACAAGATCTAAATGCTTTGGAGCCTGTGCTTCATTCCACAATTTCTGACTCTGTTGTAGGCAATCAAGATCAATTCCTTAAAAAGTAAAAAACTTGTAACAGTGAGAGAAAAGGAACTGGTTTTATGAATTATATGCTAATTTGCTGTCTCAATATTTTATGTGAATAATTAAGAGAGAAATTAAAACATCAATTCAAGATTTTTGTTTCTGTGACATTATACAAAATCTGAATGTTCACTTTATTCCCTTTTAATAGATTTCACTCAAAACCACACATGCAGATGTATTCTGCTAATAACCTAGATTCTGCTCATTATAATTAAATGTCATCTGAGACAAACAGTCCCTTATGATTCCTCCCTGTTGCAGCCTGGAGGGGTTCAGTTAATGCTCTGTATGTTTATCTCTCAATGGCTCAGCTTATATCAGTTTTAAGCAGAGTATCTCTGTCTGAATATGTGAAATGCTTGTGTGGCTACATAGGGTTAGAGTTTTCAAAAGCTCAAAATTATGTTAATATGATCCAGGAGATGAATATGTCTTTTCCTAGCTCACCTGATCACATCAGAGGGCACAGTTCAGAAAATTTACACCAAGGGGCCTTAAAAGTTAAACCACCTAAATCATCCACGAATTTGCATAAGTTATAGCTGAAGTGTGAGTTTAGTTATTGAGGAAATAGAGATGAAGCAGAGGTAAAAATTATAATGTGTTCTACTAAATGACAGAAACTATTTTTAGCATAGGAAAATTTTAATAACATAATACAAAGGAATACCAAATGAAACCTCAAGTCTAACATTAAGCTTTCTTAAAATAACAGCAGTGAAGAGAAACCTGGTTTCTCTGGTTCTCAGCTCTTCAGGAGACTAAAGTCTTTTTCAGCTAGATATTATCAGTATAAATGTAATTAATGTTTGACCCTCTTATATAGAGATTAGATATTGCAATCATAGTCAGCATAGTTTTGCAAACCATTGAAAAATTTTGTTCTCTGTGAAAAAAGTAGAATTGCCTCTCCAAAAGAAATTCCATGCTATTATACAGAAGTCGTTTAATGGTTCGATATTCCCATTAAAAGACAAACTAGTTCTGTGTTCATGTGCATGCTTGTGTGCATGGGTACAGTGCTGTGCAACAGCAATCTGTACTTGCCGTACCTTTTTGAGGCAAGGTGGATGCCTTATTCCTATCAATGACTGCAGAGGACTTCAGAGGGCCATTTGGGTAAACAAGATGTGCAATAGCTGCTCCTACTGTGTCTTGTGTGGACTACATTGACCATTCCATTTATTACATAAAATGCCCTTAACTGACTGGTTATACTGGCACTCACTAAATAACCCACATTTTTCTTTGGTTTGATAAATTTTGTCATCAGCCATTTGGAAAGGCATGCTCTTTTTGTAGTTATTTTGTGAGAGTATTTTAGTGTATTTTAGTGAATTCTGTGAGAACTCTTCACTGATGTTTCTGACAACATGATCTTGTCACAATAAATTCCCTGGAGGTTTTTTCAAATATTCAAATAATAAGAGTAGTATATGTAAAATGATTAATAGAGCGAAACCAGTTGGATAGTTGAGGATGCAGAGAAACAAGAAATACACTACACTTTGTTGTAGTGTAAATCACATTTGCAGTACTACTTTAGCAAACTTTGCTATTTTTTGTATGTAATTACCTTTTTGCAAGCAATAAGGTATTCAAAATGCAGAAAATATTGCAAGGAATTTACAGATGTAAATTTTGACTGCAATTTTGTAATAATATTTTAATATTATATGAAAATTGTGCATTTACTTCTTCATCAGCCTAAATTAAACAAGTCTTTGCACCATTTCTTTTCTGTAGATGGATAAGGCAAGTAAATGTAAATGAAAATTGGAAAAAATTTAAAATGCACAGCAGTCATTAAAGATCAAGGAGACTCAACTTCAAAATGAAAGCACAATCTAGGATACAAAACACTAATATCTTCTGTCTTATACTTTTTCATTTGGAATCATTAATAATTTTATTAGTCACTCCATCACTTACCTTCTTAGTTTTATTCAGTACCGCATCTCTTATACACTCAATGTAAAACAGAATGTAAGGGCCCCTTGTCATTGCACACTTCTGTATTAATAGTGGTTGATACAGAAATCCTTGGTTACAGTACATAGTGAAATTAATCTAATTATACTATATAAATCTAATTATAGTCTATTGATCTAATGCTTTATTCATACTTCTTATTTATTTATTTCATTTCAATGACTTAAGGAAAATACTGGAGTTGATAAGATAGATTTCACGTAATATTATCATAAATAGTATAAATTGTAATTCATTAAGGCATTGACAGGCTGAAGTCTTTAGGCTGAAATTTTTTATCTTCACTGCCTGCTTCATGGCTAATGTGTTTTCACTTTGTTATATAAGGAAACAAGACCTGTTCAATCATATTAGTCCCCACTTGTTTTGCCTCGAAGTGCCGGTTTTAAAGGTTTCAAGGACATCAAATTATCACAGACTTTGTAAAAACCATCAACTATGTAAGGGAGAAAAATTAATCTGCTGTCTCAGCTAAAGGGTAGCAGAGGAACTGAACAGACTTTTAACTCTGCTAGCTGCCAGCCAGCTCGCACACAGCTATAGAGCAGCCACAGTACTTGCTGTGCTTTCACCAGTCAGCATGCTAAAAAGGCAGGCAAAGGACCCAGCAGGTGCCTGGGATAAAGGATGTGCCTCTTGGCACTTTGATAAAAATCTACCCAATTGTGCCATATTATTCTCTTACTAGTGCAGTTTTCTTATGTCCGTATAAAAGCTGCTCTGACCATAACTAGAGCTGCACATTTAACCAGGATGAAAACCTTATCTATTAATGAATCCATTAACACTTTGTTGGCAAGAAAAGAGCTGGTTTTGAAGATTCTGACTCTGCTCATAATCCCTGTCAGATGTGATGCTTTTATTATCCTAATGGCCTTATGTTTCCCCTGCCCTGTCCATGGATGGATCCCTTTGAACTCAGATCAGGATAGCTGGGCCTTTTACGAGCTTTCTTTGGACTTAGGCCTCCCTCACTGACTGGGTTTCCTAGACACACTTCAAATCTATGTACTGTAGCAGGTTTTGTCTCCTCTCTGGGCCTTGAACCTGTTTGGAGGGTAGCCTTGTCTCTTGAGTGCACTTGGATCTTATTACATCTTTGTCTCCTGGCAGCTCTGACTCTTCAGTGAACCCTGGATGTACATGGTAAGTGGCTTTTCTCCAGTCTTGTCTTTGACAATGTCTACTGCTGTTCTTCTCTGGACTCTGTTGCACAGCCCCTGGGACTGGCTGGAGGGTTCCTTTGTCATGTCTAGGGGTGCAGATACAACTTGTTACTGTGGCCTTGTGACCTGGTGTGGGACTGCGTCCTATTGGTGAGAGCTCTATCTGCAAGTGTTTGCCTTGGCTCCTAGGTGGCCCTGTCTCTTCCAATGATTGTGTCTTCATTAGTCTCTGGTATGAAAATGTGGTGAAGCTTTCCTCCTTTAGTTTGCTTACCACTAAGGCTAAAAATCTCCTGATATAAAATGACTTTGAAAAAAAAGTTAAAGATAAAGGAATACTGGAATTAAGTTGTTTATGGAGTCCTCATTTGCAAACTCTTGTAAGATTTCTGTCTGTGTCTGTTGCTATAATTGCTATATTTTTCTCAGGGTGTAATGCGTATTCAGCAAATCAGCAGGCACATTTTGTTGTTGTTTGCTGTATTGCTCAGACCTTATTTCAGTCACATTATTTGAACACAGAGATATGTAAGACAATTTAGCACATATTTTTCTGTGCTAATCACTGTTATACTGCACAGGCACTGAAATAATTATGCTAGCTTTAGCCTGAACGTCATTATTTTCTAACTTTTTTCTTGCATAGTAACTGTCCAAATGCACTTATTGGGAAGAGATTAAGCAAATTTATTTTTCTTTTAATGGAAAATAAGCTGCTTATGCCTACTGCATGGAAAAAGGTTCATGGACATTTTAGATATGCTTTGACATGCTGCAAGCTGTTGGCTTGCCTCTTCCTATATGCCTTCATGATGCTTCCAGACTATGACTTTAACCAAAGCACTTGGATCTTTATACCACTCATTGCCTTTAAAATATGCCTCCCACTAACCTCATATGTAGGGGTCGGTATTCATAGTTTCAGCAAATTGAAACTCAGTATCAGTGGCAGGGAATTCCAAGTAGGGTCTTTACTGACCATTTGTAAAAAGTTTAGTTTATACTCATAACCAAAACCCTGTCACCAGACCTCTGAGGCAGAGCTAAAAGGTCTCAAAGAGCCCATGAGCTCTTTTGTAGTGTTGCCTTTTTCCTTTGTCTTATTCATGTTTCCAGCACTTATAACAAAGAAGCCAAGTCTTTTCTAAGAAGGTTTGTAATATGCAATGCATATTTATTAATTTGTGAGGTAATTCAATCCAGGTTTGGCTCAGAAAAAGAACAGAAGATGTTCCACAGGGACTTGTCCCTCTATAGTTGTCCAGTATGTTTGCTTTCTAAGTGAAGCAATGCCTGCAGGTAAACATAACAACTTCTCTTAGGTCATCTGCAGTTTTGTTTGTTTTAAAATTATATGCAATAAGAAGGAAAGAAAAGGCAATACATCACCATTGGCAGCTGTGCTAGGGGGCAAAAAAAATATCTGTAGCAAGGCTTTCTGCAATAATAATTTCAGAAATAAATAAATAAATGCAGTATTTTCACTAATAGAAATTCTTACACAGTAGTTGTTGCTGCTATATGAGCCTGAATTTATGGCTACTTAGCAGGGGCAGTAAAAGTTTACAAGGAGCACTTGTGACAGTTTGACGCTTCTGACTAAATATGCCTGACACTAATGAGACATGGATTGTTAGTGCCAGCGTAAGTTAGAATAAGTTTAAGGATGAACTTTTATCATAGCTATTTTGGAGGAGTTATCTCCGTGCTTGAGGTCAGTTCATGATGCAGCTTCATCCCAATAAAGGCAAGGTAGTGAGGAAACTCCTACATTTGTGAGATGGGCATGAGACCATGTAACCAGACTGATGAGCTGCTACCCCTGGTGGGTTCTTCATGCACCCATTCCATGAGATGAAGTTTCTCAAGAGAAATATCTCAGTCTGTGAGACTGCCTCATTTTAAAAACCTCTTGCTAAAAAGGGCAGCATGGAGCTGTGGTACCCAATTAAGAGAATGTCTCTGAACTTGGTATTGGGTACAGTGTAGGGCAGAAAAATCAAGGTCTCAACTGCTTCTTGCCTTTTATGCAGCACTAGTGGCACTTCTGCAATTGAGGCCCCTTCTTCCTTCCCACCATAAAGCAGTCCCCAACAAAGTGTGGTCTGATTTCACAAATGGGAGGAGGACTAGTTTAAAAGGTGTAATTTGATGGTTGATGCTGTAGAAATATTCTGAACAAAATCATCCTTGCAAAAAAAAAAATTAATTCATTTCACTATTGTAGGGGCTGCAGAGTATTTCTTCAGGGTTTTGAGAAATGTAAGTACCTTGTCTGGGACTTAAATAGCTTGGCAATAATAACATGGGCCACGTAGTTCACCTCATTATCTGCTTCCAGAGTTGATTACACAAAGAAAAAAAATGTATTCACCTTATAATACAGAGGTTCAACACTGATTGTGTAGCATATCAGCTGAATATTTTATAGAAGTGAGAGCTGAACACAAGTTGTCTGTATAACTTATTTCAGCAAATCATTATGAGAGGGCTGGGGAGGAAGTACATTTGACAAAGACATAGATTTTACAATACCTGTGCTATATTTAAAATTTGGATGTTAGTATTTATTTTATCACAGCAAATTTCACTACCTGCACTTGTTTAATTTTAAGGAAATATTTCCCAAGCTAATCAGAGACTTCAAGACTGGGGCATCCTCAGTGGCAATGATTATGCACTGGTGGAGTTTGCAGTCCTAAAGGGTGTGGGTCACATACAGAGTAAGGTTAGGTCCCTGAACTTTAGGAGAGCAAACTTCCAGCTCTTCAAGGAGATAGTCAACAGGATCCCCTGGGAGACAGCCTTCAGGGACAAGACAGAAGAACAGAGGTGGCAGATCTTTAAGGAATTCTTCCATGTAGTGCAAGATATATCAATCAAGGAAGGAAAGACCTGGTGTGGTTGAGTAGGAAACTGCTGATCAAACTAAATTGAAAAAGCAAATGCATAGACAATGGAAAGAAGGACAGTAACCTGGGAAGAGTGTAGATATGAAGTTTGGATATGTAGGGATGGAATAAGGAAGGCCAAGGTGAAGCTAGAACTGAACCTGAAAAGGGATGCAAAGAATAACATGAAGGTACAGGTATATGAACCAGAAAAGGAAAGTCAAAGGAGTATCCCCCTAATAAACAATGCTGGCAAACTGGTAACAATGGATGAAAAGAAGGCTGAGGTACTCATCTTTGACTCAGTCTTCAGTATCAACCTTTCTTCTCACACCTCTTGTATGGATGGATAACAGGATGGGGGCAGGAGGAGCAAAGTCTCTCCTACTCTAAATAAGGATCTGTCTATCTAGTGAGTTCATGAGATCCATCCCAGAGCCATGAGGGCACTGGCTCATGCCCTTGTCAGGCTTCTCTCCATGATATTTAAAAAATGCTGGCAGTCAGGTGATGGGACAAAGGCAAATATTGTAAACCCATCTCTTTTCAGTAGAAAGGACGACCCTGGGAGACTCTAGCCTGACAGTATAATCTCTCTCTATGCTTGGAGTGTCATGCAACAGATCCTCCTAGCACATATGCTAAGGCCCATGGAGGACAGGGAGCTGATTTGGAACAGTTGGCATGGCTTATCCAAGGGCAGGCAAGGAACCTCGTGGTCATATATGACAGGGTGACTACATCAGTGGACATGGGAAGGACTGTTAAAGTCATTCATCTGTAAAGCCTTTGACATGAACCCCCGGAATAACCTTTTCTCAAAATAAGACATGAATTTGGTGGATGGATATGGATATGGAATGGGTTGAATGGTTACATTCAGAGGATAGTGATCAGTGGCTGAAAGTCTCAGTGGATATCAGTGACAAGTGCTGTCCTTTAGTGTTCTATATTGGAACCAATATTATTTAATATCTTCATTAGTGACACAGGCAATGACAAAGTGATCCATCACAGCCTCAGCAAGTTAGCAGATGACACCAAGCTGAGTGATTCTGTTGATGCACCTGAGACATGCAGAAGGAGATGGACAAGCCCAGGAAGTGGGCCTGGAGGAATTCCATGAAGAAGGCCAAGTGCAAGGGGATGCACCTGGGTTGGGGCAGTCATTATCAACCCAGGCTGGGGGATGAGCTAGTCAAGAACAGCCCTGCTGAGAAGGACTTGAAGGTGCTGGGGGGTGAGAGGTTGGGTATGACCCAGCCCTGTGTACTCACAGCCCTGAAAATGAAATGTGTCCTGGGACAGATGGAAAACATCTCCTGCAAGGAAACACTGAGGTAATTTGGATTGTTCAGCCTGGAACAGAGAAGGCTTGTGTGTGACCTAGTTGTCACTTCCAGCACCTGAAGGGAACACACAAAAAAGATTTTTAAAAGAGAGATTTTTATAAGGACATGAAAGGACAAAGGGGAGTGGTTTCACATGGAAAGACATTAGGTTTATATTAGAAGGAAAGCAATTCTTTACTGTGAGGATGGTTAGGCAGTGGAACAGGTTGCCCAGGTAAGTTGTGGATGTTCCATGTATTCAAGGCCATATTGGATAGAGCTCTGACCAACCTGCTCTAGTGGAAGGTATTCTTGTCCATGGAAAGGGGATTGGAAATAGGTTATCTTTAAGGTCCCTTCCAGTCCAGGCTATTATACACTTCTCACTTCAGTAATTTTACTTACTGATGGAAAGGGAGGCAGTGTGCAGTGGTGAGTTTAGATCTGTGCTCTTGCATGTCCAGTGATTATGAAGAGAACTGTACTAGTAGGTGCAGCTTGTTAGTTTTTAAACAAATCTATATGAAATGTATTTTCTTTACCGGTCTGTGTTATGTATTGGTGCTTGGGTAGTTTAGAAAAAAGCTGCAATTGTACATGAGTGCTTTTATACTGAATAATCAGTCTGAAGGAAATTAATTTTTTTTGTGAGACTTTTTCTCACCTTGACTCAGTTGTAATTCAGTAGATGATTCAGGTGCTATTCTTAATCCAAATAATATTTATTGCTCCATTCTGTAGTAATTGGTAAATTCTCA